ATTTTTCGTTTCATAGATAGTTCATTCTGATATCTATTAGCCTTTGTATTTTTAGTGGATTATAACATAATGGTTTTGTATAGAATGTGAGACTATAATTTAATCGAAAAACAGGAGTGTGGGTTTGGAGTTTTGTGGGAGTGCTTAGTGTTGGTGATTGTAAGTAAGGGCAAGAGTAAGAGCGTATATGGTTGAGTCCACGTATGGGTATAAATGTGGATGTAGCTTGATGACAGATAAGGATGTGAGTGGATATGCGGAGAGTGATGGTGCACAGATGACAGGATGTAAGGTAACAGAAAACTAAAATCCGAAGTTACATCCACACACATTCATCAACATCCTGACTCCCATCGTTATCCACCCACCTCAAAATCTCTATTTGTTCGGCTACGATCAGATTGTGATGCACAATTGCGCCACAGCTAGAGCGCTGTGGTGTATTCTGCCGCAATTATGATGCAATAAATGCATTTTGTCACAATTATGCCGCAATGACTCGAAAGTTACCTTATGTCGAATTCTGCATGGAAAGATATGTACTGAATAGTGCTGAAAAAGACATCGATATGGAATATTTAGAACGGGGATTCAGTATTTAGCCAAAATTTTTAGCTCATTTTACTCATGATGAGACCAGAAAAAATGCTGCATATTAACTTTCGGAAAGCCTTAGAAAAACTACATCTCTAACCATTGTAATCTCAGAGCTGCAAGAATGAATCTCTATGTCGAGAGTTTTCCCATAAAAATTTCTTTTTCATATAAAATGAATGCCAAAATCCGAATCAGCGTGAAAAGACTGCATAATAATACCATATCTATCATCAAAACGCTTTCTTTGGGTCAAATTCGATCTCTTAGGAGATCCCTAGATAAAAACTGGCAGGAAAATATAGGGGCTAAATTTGATCGACAAAAATGTTCTGACGAAAGATTTGTTATTTTATTCAGTTTCGTATGCTGATGTCGATTTTCCATTCATTTTCATGGGAAAAGTCTCGCCATTTTTTAAGCTCTTTCGCGAAAGAAAAACGCTTTCTAGCAGTCGCTTATGTTGCAATAAACAAAATCGTTATTGCTATTAGAAATAGCCGAGTAGGGATGGGGTGATCATTGAGATTTTTGGTAGATAGCTACTGCTTTTCGAATAAAGAAAGCCTGTTGTCATATAACAATTCGATTTCGGTGTAGGAAATAGCCGAGGAGAAATGATTCAAAATGCCAAAGTTTTTCCTAATTTCAAGATCTTCTTTCATAAAACGAAAGTGCTTTCGAATACTCTACCATCTCTTCATAAGCCAAAGCGATGCAGACTAATGAGGTAACTAAGTGGGGATGCATTACAGACTTGATGTTTTTCGTCTGTCTACCAGAAATGATATTTTGTTCCGTTCAATATCTCTACAATAAACCATCCATACTGTCTGAAACTTCCAGAACGCTGTGTTGAGTTTGGGGCCTGCTAGTTATCAAAGTATTGACTCAATGATTTTTTTTTACTCGATAATTTCGACGAATATCTTACCAGAGGTCGAAAATCAATAAAATAGCCATAACTCAGGGAGGGTTGCATATTATGTTGAATTCTTTATGGGTATTTGGGTGTACGTGAGGGTAAAAATGGGACTAGTTGGGGTGTGAATTACGAGAAGATCAGCACACACATCCATCCACGCCGTAAAAAACAATGAAGATCCAGATTATCTTCAATATAAATGTCATCGATCAATTCAGTATGATCTAATCTTTCTTGAGGAATAATATACGAGTATGTTGCGAAACGAACAAATCTCAAACAGAAAAAAGTAATAATTAGAAGTATTTGCATTATATACATACAAACATTTCTCTTCGTTCACCATTCATTCTCTTCACTCTAGCATTAGTGTATATCTCAAGAAAGAAATAGTGGACTCCGCATTCTACCGAGTCTATTGACTCAGGTAAACTCTGTGGCATTAAAAGACTTGCGTAATCACATGGCGTTTCGAAGTTTCACAGAATTTTTCTGTCAGTAGAACGTTGGGAAAAGAGAAAAAGTATTCTCACCCAATTGAAACTTATAAACAATTGAAATTATCAATCTGGTGCTTGCTGCCGATGTACAACATATTGTTGTGCGAATGAACTTTCCTTCTCTTGTATATTCATATTAAAATGTAACTGTATGTACTATAAAAACAAGGAAAAAATGGTAGTGAGCAATAAAAAGATATATCATTATGGTTGATTATCACACTACAGAAGAGGCAAATCACATTGGATAAAAACAAAGACTGTTAATGATATTACAAAAACCTTAGGGTATGTTTTTGAGAAAATTCAGCATTACATGATATTGACGATTGAGTGACGTTTCAGAAATTATTGATTTCTTTATATATTATAGAGAGCAATAAGTGTAATATTCTGTGAAATTTCCAGCTCGATCTGATTGCTCTTTCCTATTTAGGCAATCAAAATACTAATTCATTTTTAATATGATATTTTTAATTATTTTTTGCATCGATTTTTGGTCAGTTTGCTTCAGTAAAAGTGACTTTCTCATGTTGATTTTTGAAACGTTTGACTTCTCATTTGTTTTAGCTAAAAATATTGAGGAATTTTCCTTCTGAATACAAAAGTTCAAAAGTTTTCGTCAACCTTATGAGAACTTCTGTAACACTATTCAAAAATTTTGCATTGACATTTTCTCTATTTTGTTACAAAAATGTTGCTCAATCGCATATTATGCTCCAACAATAGATTGCTGTGATATCTCTAATGATGATAGAACTTATCAAGTTCCATCACCTAGAATATTTGCACATTTTTTGTCTGTTAGAAAATTTAACATTTCTGACCAAAAGACATGTTTTTCTATCATCCATGAGATATCTTTAAAGACATTGATCTGTTTTTCATATATTATACTTTCTCAACCGGTCGATATTTTCTTATGTAAATACTTTTTGTTGTGGGTGATATCATGATTTTAGATTACTAAAAAAGAATTGAAAAAATGCATTGCATTTCTAGAACGATCTTTTTCAATCTCCTGTTTAGCCTATTGGTTGACCATCGCATAACCTCAAAATCGAGGTTGTAAACAACAACAAAAGAGTTAACGTCTATCTACGGATGATTCAAATCAACAAAACTCCTTACTATTGAATGAAAGACTACTGAGAAAAACCGAGTTTTTTTGAAGAATCAATATATATTTCATAGAACTCCGTGAGAATCCATGGAATTTCAACAGACTCTACATAATTATTCGAGACTCCAGTGGTCTTCGAGTCCGCTGTTTCCGTCTTGGTCTAATCACATATGACCCCCGACATAACTCATTTTTCAAGAAATATTATTCATGATAGGTAGACCTCCAGCTTTATACAGATAACTCCAAATAAAAGCTAAATTAACGATTAACTCAAGTTTTATATTATTCAAGAGAAATAGGTCATTTATAACCCCTTGACAGTAACATGGCTTGATCCAAATGTTACCATATCAATGTCATCATTAGCACCTGCATAAACTATTGTCATGCTTAAGTTCAACGTCAACTCTATTGGATTAGTGTGAGAGGATAAAGGATTAATTTATTCTTAGATTTTAGATCTCTTGTAGTAACTAAATTAATTATTGGATGATTTTTAATTAATTGTGAATTAAAAAGCTTTCTGTTGATCAAAACAAATTGAAGAAATAAAACCTTAGTCTATTCAATTGAAGATCTTTTGAATTAAATAAAGTTTTTCTTAATATATTCTTTGTGAATTTTAATAGCATTCGCTTGCAGATAAAATCATGCATTTCTATTTCTCCAAAAACTCCATTTATCCATGTTAAATTATTGTCTAAAAATCATTTTCATTTAGATTGTACAAGGAAATTATTTGATAGATAATACTAGTTGCATTATACTGCTTGTATAAATTACAATTAAAATAAATATGAAATTAAATAGAATTATTTTTCAAATACAATAAATATTAATTTATTTGTTTTTAGGATAACTATTTCTTTGTTTCTACAAATGTATGTCTGTATTACTCTCGATTCATTTTTGTCCTTATTAATTGTGATTTTTATGATGAATATTGTCAACGATATGAAGTAGTGCAATAAATATGTGATAATAATAGGTTTTAATCAGTCACGAAACAATGACAAATAGAAGATTATATCATGATGACGTCAATTATATATATATATTCATCTTGTTGGCTGATTAGAAAAGATGTTTATTTATAAGAAAACAATATTAATTCAAGATAATAGATGTTTAATTGAGTTTTTTTTCGGAATAGTAAATAAAGTTTATTTATTTAAAAGTATTTTTTATTATTCATAAGGGAACTAGCCAAGCTGATGGCTGCCGTTTGAACTCATAGGGTTTCATAAGAAGGTTTCAATAAGACTAAACAAATTCTAAAGGAACTCGTGTTCATGGGCCTTTCGAGCTTAATTATAGCTCTTTTAATGACTTTTCGATCCAGCTTTAGGTATTTACCGAAAACTCAAATAACGGTATTTCAACCTCATATTTCTCTTATAAATCGCTCAGATGATTAGTAGAATATTCTGAAAGTTTCGATCGAAAAGAATCTTCTTTTATCCAGATATTAAATTTCCAAGTAAACTTGATTTTTGTGGCAAATAACCATTTTAAAAAAAAATGCAATATCCTGGCAAAGAAGCATTCTCTTCAGTTGAAGCTCTCAGGATATTCTATTAGTCATTCATCCTGTTTATGGACGAAATTTTAGATCGAAATATATTTATTTGGTTTTTCAGTACATATCTAAATCTGGATCGAAACTTCAGTAAAATGGTCATAATTCGACTCCAGAAGACTATGAGCACAAGTGTTGAGTACCAAGTTCGGGCAGTCCCCTCGTCAGCAATAAAATAATATTTACGAAATTTTGTTTTTGTTTTATTTTATTATTTGAATGTCAATGTGCTCCATTACATTCATTATTTTGTAGTTTTTATTTATTTATTATTCTTTATTCAGCATATAATACTTGTGTAGCCGAAATAGCTCCACAAATACTAAGAATACTTGCTAGAATAGTTACAATAACTGTCGAACCAGCTAAATAAATAAATGTACCCATTGTTAATGATAAAAGTAATTGTGCCAGAAATACCATACTACTCACAATAGCCACATCTGTACCAATACCACGAATTTGTCCATTTGTATTTAATTGATTGAACTATTTTAAATAAATAAACGATTTAACTTTATATGTAAACAAAAACAAAAGATATTTCAACATACTATATTAGATGTATAATATTTCGAAATAAGTAAATATGGAATAGTAAATAATGTTGAATAGAGAATACCAGCTACAGCTGAACAAATAATGACAGCTATACGATGACGTAAATATCCCATTACTAACATTCCAATGGCATATATTAATTGCGATCCAATATAAACTCGCTTAATACCTTTTATAAATATGCAGAATTTTTTTAAAGGATCCCACTAGATTCGGTGATCTATCTGGAATCAGGATATCCTATGTATGGTTTTGTAGAGCAATTTGCGGTACATTGAATGGCATGATAAGATATCAGGTTTTTCTCAAATTTTGATGTGCTGAAGGTTTAGATACTGGTTACAATTCTTCAAGAATATATATCAGCATAGCATCCCCGATGAACTGATATACATAATTCCTTCATAAATGAAAAAAAAGTTGTTGACCTCTGGACTTCTGAAAGAAGTACGACGATATAGAGTTGCAGAAAAGAGATATGCTATTTTTATTACTTCTTTTTCTAACTTTTATTTGGAGCAGTCAGGTTTGGCTTATGCATAAAGCTCTAGAAGAATCTGCAAATATCTTCCGCTCATTTGAAAAATAAATTTTTCTATATTTCTTCGCCCCCCCTCAAAGATTTGAAGATCAAAAAGTTATTTCCTATTTATAAATGAGTTATTTATATCTGTTCATCAGCAAATATCATCAATATATCGGTCCCTTCAAATAGGATATTTTATAGAACAATTTTACGAGTTGACAATGACTCTTTGCTGTTCCAAAAGATCTTATCAATGAAACATATAGAACTCGAAAGTGTTCAATTTCTGAGAAAGCTTGTCATTGGATCTTACTTATTCTGTGGCACAGAATTTAACACAGTGAAATATGATAGAGTCAAGGAATTACTTAAATTTAAGAAAAGGGCCTATATTTAAGTATGAAAAAAGCAACGATGAAATCCATTATTTTTAGAACATGGAAGAGTATCTATAACTGTATAGAGTTGAACTTAAAAACAAAATGTGCATAAATTTATCTTAGAACATCTTAAGGACCACAATATCTATGAATACCATATATATTTCTGAAGAATTATTATCATTTTATGAACTTTCAGCGCATCATATAATACAATTTGGTACGTTGTAAATGACTTTACAACATCATATATCTGATGTTTTGATTCAAGATAGGTCACTAACTCCGACGAGATTCTTTTCATAAAATTAAAAATATACCAAAATAATTATTCAATGTTTGAATATTAAATGAATAAATCGAACATGATATTGAATAAATTGACATTCCCCATGAACCAAATCGAACTCCATCATTATATAATAATCTTAATGGATGTTCAGAATCCATTTTTGGATTTCCACCTAAAATAAAAAATTGTTCGTTGTAAAATTTTTATTATTATCATAATTACCAAAAACAACTTGTCCAACGAAATCCGTAAAAAATAATGAATAAGAAACAAGGGCCATCCAACAAAAAAAATTTGTTAAACAAAGCCATCTTAATGATACAGGCATATAAATAATTGATCGAAGATAATCAATATATGATATTTTTAAATGAACAACTGATGTCGAATCATATCGTTTTCGTTCTATAATTGAATTTGGTTCATATGGATGAATATCATCATTAGGTAAACTGTTTATTGAATAAGTTGATACAAGATATTGACGTGATGACGATCGACTAAGATTTGGCATCATTATTGTAATATTAGCTGGCTCTTTTGCTGCTGTTAATGTTAATATCATACAAATTATATAAATGATCCAAACAAGTGTAAAAACAACATGTATATGATCACCAAATATTTTAGTTAAAAATGTATTTTTCCATGGAATACCACCAAAAATATAGCCTAAACAACCTCCAAGACCAGCCATTGTTGTAAATGTTGTAAGACCTAAAGCATGTTGATTTGGATTTGTAACGTCAAGTAAATAGGCACGACTTGGACTTTGACATGCATCACAATCAAGATCAAGTAAAAGGACACCAAGAACAGTTATTATTGTACCAAATCTATGTTTTAAAAATGAATTAGATATATGATCATTTTCAAAATTTGTTTGATTGATTAATTCAGTAGTATTGAAAAAAATTTTTTTTGAATCACCAAACCAATATCCAATAGTCTGACCTAATTGTTAACAAAAGAGTCAATGTTTTTTTTTCTTTTTCTTTAAATAAAGAGCAATTTTATTTTTTACCATTAGCAACTAATACCAGACCGATGAGAATTCCAGTGGAATACAGTAAAATAAATGGACGTCGTCGTCCAATACGTGTATGATATTTATCACTAAGTGAGCCAAGTGCTGGAACAAGAAAGAATCCAATCAATGGTGGTAAACACCATGTCCAAGTCATAAGTATGACAGGTAAGCCGAGCTGAAGAAGTATAGGTGAAACAAAAGCAGTTTCAGCTGCATAACAAAATTCAATACCACATACGACAGCACTTAAACGTATAAGATCAAATCTGCTTTTGTAACTTTCTGTATTATCGTCATTAAATTGATTATAAGAATCATGACGTCGAAATGATCGTTTCAGAATTTCGGTCATTGCTCTTTGTTTAGTTTATGATTCTCAAATGATTGATATAATTATATATATAATATATATACTAAAGTGAAATTCTAGAAAAAGAAAAAAAAGTTACCAGACAATTGATCCTTGATAATATTGTCACGCACTAGTTGTCAGCTTTTGTGATATAATAGTAACACGCTATCTATAAGTGTCATTCATTTTTCTTTAATAAGACTCAAACCCTTTGACATTAGAAAATGCTGAACTTATATTGTCTGGCTTTATTTTCTGATGTTATTAAATGTCCTTCGTACAACATTGAATATATTTGCGGAGACGAATACGTGCAAAATCTTAATTGTGCTATCAATAAGAAGAAAAAAAATATTTGAACGATATTGTTGATTAGAATTCAATCAAATCAATGTTTCTTGCACATTATTCTCATGAGACAAGAGTTAATTTAGTCTATTGGTTTTTATCTTTATTCTCATTTACTATATCAAGGCCAAAATTGGTTTCTTAATGAAATTTAGGATTTCTATTTTTAATATTAATTTCAATATTATGATAATTTTAATTGATGAAATAATTTTCTGTAGAAAAATGTTGAGTGGCATTTTTTTCCCGTTAGGTACAAATGCATCTAATTATAGTCAATCCATATATCAATCTGTTAGATAACTTGATATGACACTGCAATACCGAAAAAAAGACGTGCAAGAACGATAAACGAGCAATTGTATACACAAAAAAAAAAAGAAAGACATAGAACAATTGTCATTGTCAACACATTACATTATAGGATAAATAAATTATTGTCTGTTCTATGTCATACATTCTGATGAAAGATATGATTGAGAGGCATATTTCAAAGAATATGACGGGGAAGTTGTCTGGTAATGTAATTGAAACTTCTTATTATTATTGTATGGAGGGTATTCAACTCGAGTTTTCATGGCTTAAGGTATAAACGAATAGATATATGTATATTGGTATAATTTCCCTGATTTCGTTTATTTTAAAAGAAAAGATTTGTTTGTAGTATTTTATTAAAGAATTTTTTCAAGATCAATAATGAGGATATCAGATTACGTAACTCAGATAATAGAAATAATAAAAAAAAAAAACTAAATTTTGTCGCTTTTTTTACAAAGAGATGTTTTCTATTTTTAAACTAAGTAAACTGAAGAACTTCCATGATTTGCATCGATCATTACTGCTAAAATGCTTGTTTATTTATCATCACTGATAAACGACGAAATCGTCAGTTTAGTTTGATAATTGAATAGTTCCTCATGAAGATATGCTTTTTCTTTATAAAAAACATATTTTTTCAAAAAAATTAGCTAAATAATATTGTTCATAACTGAATGTGTCTCAGAATAATATATTTATCTAATTAAGGATATATATATAGGGATACGTATATATATGTCCCCAACTTCAATGTCTATTTAGTTCTTTTTAAAATAATTTTATGTTATTTTAGATTCATGATAAATCTTATTCTAGATATTCGTTGTAAACAAATTTGAAGATTGAAATGTTTCACTTTCAATATCATGTCTTGTTATTGCACTGCTTTACTATTGTAAGAGGACAAACGACCGGTTGTAAGTTTTGTTTGAAAATTATTTATATCATTAATTTGTATTCCTTTCTTTTCTCACTAGTTCAATTACAACCAACTGAAGTTGGATGTGTATCAGATGATGGTCGAGGTATGTCATCGACTTTTATTTATATTAAAATCAATATAAATTCAATGTTAAATATTTAGTTATTCCTGTTAGCAACAAAGAATATACGTCTCCCACTAATGTTTGTGATTTATGTCGATGTGAAAGCGATCAAGCTTTTGTATGCGATAGTCGTTGTGACGTTATTGTTGATTCAAGCAGTTGTGAAGAATCTGAAATGATTGAAAACAATGATCCCATTTGTCCATGTCTTGTATGTCCTGATCAGAAGGGTATGTTGAAATTTACTTTTTGCAACCGTATTCAATAGGCTAAATTTTATAGATATAATAAATCAAGTAAAATATCATCTGTTTATAAATAGTTAAGCTACTATGTCGACTAATTTGCTTTCACATTTATGAAGGTCGAGAAACTTTTTTCAAACTTACGAAAAGAAATTATTTAATGAAGGACCTGTACTTTGCAGTAATTTCTGTTTCTCTTTTAGATTATTGGAAACAACGGTGGGAGAATTTGACATCAATTCATGATGAAGCAAGTATTTTCGCCACTACCAGTACTGATACAATGCAGCCTACCACTGAAGTAGAGTCTACGACAGAACCATTAACGACTGCAACAAGTTCACGCTTAACAACTAGTCCTACGACAACTACCACAACCAGCACTACAACTACAACGCCTACAACAACCACAACCAGCACGACGACTACAACCACAACCAGCACTACAACTACAACACCTACCACAACCAGCACTACAACTACAACCACAACTAGCACGACGACTACAACTACAACCAGCACTATAACTACAACTACAACCAGCACGACGACTACAACCACAACCAGCACTACAACTACAACATCTACCACAACCAGCACTACAACTACAACACCTACCACAACCAGCACTACAACTACAACCACAACCAGCACGACGACTACAACCACAACCAGCACTACAACTACAACTACAACCAGCACGACGACTACAACCACAACCAGCACTACAACTACAACATCTACCACAACCAGCACTACAACTACAACACCTACCACAACCAGCACTACAACTACAATCACAACCAGCACGACGACTACAACTCCTACAACAACTACAACCAGCACTACAACTACAACTCCTACAACAACCACAACCAGCACGACGACTACAACTCGTACAACAACCACAACCAGCACTACAACTACAACACCTACCACAACCAGCACTACAACTACAACAACAACCACAACCAGCACGACGACTAAAACTCCTACAACAACCACAGCCAGCACTACGACTACAACTCCTACAACAACCACAACCAGCACTACGACTACAACTCCTACAACAACCACAACCAGCACTACGACTACAACTCCTACAACAACCAGCACTACAACTACAACTCCCACAACAACCACAGCCAGAATTACTACTAGAAGAACCAGAACTACTAGCATTACTACTAGAAAAACCACTACCACTACAATAACAACAACAACTACTACTACAACGACAGTGACGACGGCTGTCTATTGGATTTCAGGACCGAAAGGTGCATAATATTTTTTATTGATAAGAATTTTTTTTTAATTTTCGGTCGTAGGTTTATCCGGTGTTGATGGTATACCAGGCCTTCCTGGTCCACCAGGTCCTGTAGGATTAATCCAAGATACAGATGATATGGGAGTAAGATGTCTACATTACATTATACACTTTGCTAAATATCTATATTTATTTAGAGCACGGAAGCCCTCGCAAGACATCGTGAAGAAGACATTCGTACTATGATTCAACGTCATTTACTCACGCATGTCTATAATCCATCACAATTTTTCAGAGGTCGACCACCATTAGTTTCTTCTGCACCTTATATTCCATATGCTCAATTATCAGCAGGAATACCTGGACAGCGTAAGCAAATACTTGAAAGAGTTGTATAAATTTTTATTTAGTCACGATAATTTGATGTTTAAAGCTGGCATCGAAGGTTACCAAGGTTTACCGGTTTGTAAATATACTTCACTAAATTTCTTTTAATCTTTTATTCATTTTTCAGGGTCCACAAGGTGTCATGGGTAAATATGGTATGCTTGGAGATCATGGTTTTCCTGTTAGTAATGATATGGATTGTTCATACTCATTATTTTATTTTTATCATTTATTCTAGGGATATGTTGGACCACCAGGCTTTATGGGACAAAGAGGAAGAATTGGGCGAAAAGTAAATTTTTATTAATACTTAGGACAATCCAAAAGTAGTGGCTCAGATGCCTTATTTTCTTATAATAGGCTTGTTGAAATTTTCTTTTTACATGAGATGATAGAGAAAACGAAGCTCTATTTCTCTATGCTATTGGATCGCTATTCAACTGCTACCATAATAATAAAATTTCGATAGAAACTGTTTTTGTTGAAAACTTAACTATCGGTTGAAGCAGATTAAATGACTACGCTTTGAACTTCACTTTTCAATCACTTAACATGTTGTATTAGAAAATAAAATATACCACAATATGCAGCGTGAAAAGCTTTACAATTTACATAAGACCACTTGTTTTATAGTTGCAACTTTTGTTTTCGAAATGAACAAAATTTTGAGCCAAGAATTTGTGATCGTACGAAAGCAATATTTTTTTGATACAAGATGAATTCATTTTTGCTTATTTCATTCTTTTATCACCTAATATCTTTTATTTAAAAAAAAAACAAATTACATAACAAGATGCAGCATGAAAAGCTCTACAATCTACAAAGTAAAGCTTATTTTAATTGTTTACTTCTTGTTTTCAAAAAAGCAAAATTTTATGCGATCAGTTTTTTCTGTCCTAAAAAACATTTTTTTCTGTAAAAAAAGAAATTTTTTTTTTTTTTTCATTTCAGTTATAAAACAAACAATCTTATGTAAATTGTAGAGCTTTTCACGCTGCATATTGTGATATATTTTATTTTCTAATACAACGTGTTAAGTGATTGAAAAGTGAAGTTCAAAGGGTAGTCATTTAATCTGCTTCAACCGATAGTTAAGTTTTCAACAAAAACAGTTTCTATCGAAATTTTATTATTACGGTAGCAATTGAATAGCGATCCAATAGCATAGAAAAACAGAGCTTCGTTTTCTCTATCATCTCATATAAAAAGAAAATTTCAACAAGCCTATTATAAGAAAATAAGGTATCTAAGCCACTACTTTTGGATGGTCCTAAGTAATTTCTTAAATAATATGATTTATAACTCAATTCTTTGTCAGGGAAGTATTGGAAGACTTGGATGGAAAGGTGAGAAAGGTATTAAAGGTGTTCAGGTTAGTAGAATCTACTTGAAAACAAGAGTCAATTTTACAAATGTATAGGGAGAGACCGGGTTGATCGGTATTCCTGGTATCGTTGGTATCAAAGGTTTGTAGATCTTTTTATTTCAAATGTCAGAAAGTGACTTTTTGTTTTGAATTTTGTTTTTTTTATTTCTAGGAGAAATTGTAAGAAATTTATCATGTATTATTATTATAATTAAGACATACATGTTTACAGGGTTCAATAGGAGAAAAAGGAAGGACAGGAGAAATAGGACACCAAGGTGAAAAAGGTTGTACAGGACAACAAGGAGATCAAGGACCATGTGGGCAGATCGGTTATCAAGGTGACATAGGACTCGTCGGTGAGAGAGGTGGTCAAGGACCAAAAGGTACAGTTTCATTATAAGCACAATTTTGCTTTGAATAACAAAATTCATTTTAACGTTCCTAGGCACACAAGGTTCAGTTGGTCCAGGTTTGTTCGTGTTATTTTTTACGCTGTGCTTTTATACAAAGACTTTTCATTGTTTTCTTTTCTAATCTCTTGTCTAACATAGTTGGTGATCAGGGTGACAAAGGTCGACAAGGTCCAAAAGGTGAACAAGGTTCACACGGATTGCAAGGTGAACAAGGGTCAATAGTAAGTAGACACAAAAATGACTTTAATGTTCAGACTTGATATCTTTTACATAATGAATGTTTAAATAGGGTCGAAGAGGCAACATAGGTGTGCTCGGACGAATGGGTATCCCAGGTTCGATTGGTGAAAAGGTATGAATCGATTGATCATTTAATAAATTCATCTCATTAAGTACATTATTGATTGTTTAGGGTAATATTGGTGGTATTGGTGGCATAGGTGATCGTGGAAACAAAGGAGAAAAGGGTGTTCGAGGCGCTCAGGGTATTCAAGGAGACGTAAGTGAATTTTGATGCTGTTAATTTACCGTAATGTGATTGTGCAGATATATGCATATATCTATCGTGTTTTTATTTAGATTGGTATTCAAGGACCACCAGGATTTGAGGGAGATCAAGGTTCTGTAGGATTTAAGGGTGAAAAAGGTTATGAAGGTGATGAAGGTGAAGTTGGTCCAGATGGAGATAAGGTAATCATGTGTATTTAATTATGATGTTGATGATGGAAATTCTTTTTCTTTTCCTCTAATTAGGGAATGCAAGGTTTTAAAGGAGACGAAGGTGATGTGGGAGCCATGGGTTTCAAAGGGATTACAGGAGACCAGTAATTATCAGAAACTACTTCCACTATATTCTCTTACCTGTCATTGTATTTTAATAGAGGTATTCAAGGTCAAATAGGGCCAACAGGAGATCATGTAAGTGCATATATATTTCTTCATTAAAACGAATAAACTATGGTTTAATTTATTTTTCAATAGGGTGATAAAAGCGATAAAGGACTTCAGTAAGAGACTTCTTTTTATTCGTAATGAAAGTCTACATAGTAAGAATATTTATATAGAGGAACAGAGGGAATTGAAGGTCCTATTGGTGAACGTGGTTTTAATGGAAGAGAAGGTCCTGCAGGTGAAGTAGGACAAAAAGGTGAGAAAAATTCTTGTTAATACGTACATTATGTAGACATATAGTATAATATCTCTCTTATTTATATAGGTGAAAAAGGTGATAAAGGAAATGAAGGCGAAAAAGGCGACAAAGGTTTTAATGGACCACAAGGAATTATTGGTGAAAAAGGTGCACGAGGACCTCTAGGAAATCAAGTAAAGTTATCAACAAAATCGTAAAATTTTACACTATTGAATTTTGCAAAATAGTTTATATGTATATTAATCTTTGAATCGTGGCCTTTTTTTGTATATTCTTTAGGGTAGCAAAGGTTATCGTGGTTTCAAAGGTGAATTAGGAACTATAGGAGACACAGGTCCAAAGGTAAGTTTAAATAAAGACTATTAAAATAATAGTTTAACTTGAATATATATATATTGTATCTATAAATCAGGGTATCGAAGGACCGATTGGTATAACTGGTCTCAAAGGTGAACAGGGTGATATTGGTATCCGTGGAGATCAAGGAGATCACGGTGATCGTGGTATAATCGGTGATAAAGGCAAACAAGGTATACAAGTGAGTTATATATACTGTGTTTGTTAACTCGATAAGTTATTCGCTTTCTTTTTTCCTTTAGGGATTAATTGGTCCAAAAGGTATCTAGATAAAGAAAATAATTGTTTCAAACTGTAAAGATTATTTTGATTTATAGGTGTTACTGGTATCGTTGGAAATAGAGGACATAGGTTAGATTTTGATTTTTATCTTACTATGTTAAAATCATTGTATAATAATTCTTGTTTTGTTTTTAAGAGGATCTATTGGTCAAATTGGTCAAAAAGTAGGACTTTTATAATGATGCATAATAATTAGTATGAATATGTTTCGCTCAGGGAATAAAAGGAGATGCAGGTGATCAAGGAATAATTGGTGATATTGGCCCAATAGGTAAATTTTTATAGATAAAAAGAATTGATAAAAACGAACCTATACAAAAAACATTTAGGACCGACAGGTGAAAAAGGTGTGAAAGGAGTTATTGGTGATATCGGGGCACAAGTAAGGAAAAATAACAATATATTTTATTTAATTTCTAGTTTATATTCTAGGGACATGTAAGTATTTGTTTACTAATTTGACTATATATTATAAAAATATCCTTGACAGATCGGTTCGACAGGTGATATCGGTTTAACAGGACCAAAAGGTACGTTTATTTTCAAGAAAGATAAATTACTAATTGAGTATATATGAAGGAAATACGGGCGATCAAGGTCCTCAAGGAAACGTAGGATTGGACGGTGAAATAGGAGCAACAGGTTTGAAAGGTGACACTGGTATAAATGGAACCAAAGGAGATATTGGTATTGCCGGTGTTGTGGGCGAACAAGGAATCGAAGGTAGATTTACAAACTTCAGTGTTTGAAAGAGATTGTTTTTGTTTATGTATTAGGTGAACAGGGAGTCATTGGTGCAAAAGGACAATTAGGTCATAAGGGTAAACTTGGACCAATAGGTTCAAAAGGTGACAAAGGTTTTGAAGGAGATGTTGGTCCTATTGGTGAACAAGGAATGCTAGGAATAGTTGGACCTCAAGGTATTGCTGGTACAAAAGGAGTAAGTATTTTAGTTATAAGATGAAATATAATTTTGATTGTTCTATGTAATAAATTTCAAGGATACTGGGATTAAAGGCATTAAGGTATTTTAACATGGGTGAAGTAGAAAAATAGTATATTCATAAAATTATTCTCTTGAAAATATTTTCAGGGAGCTGTAGGTGAAAAAGGTAAAACTGGACTTCAAGGTGTAACAGGCAACAAAGGCGAGCGTAAGTAACATTATTAACTATCAAATAAATATGAACATTTTTTTTTCAAAGAGGGTGTTAAGGGTATTGTTGGTGGACAAGGCAATATAGGTGCTAAAGTAAGTATTCCCATGTTTCTAGTTCTGATGTAAAGTATCAAAACATCTTGACTAGGGTTATGAAGGACCCATCGGTTTACCTGGTCTTTCAGGACCTCGTGGTCTTACTGGTAATGTTGGTGAGAAAGGTTATGGTGGTAGTCGTGGAAGCAAGTAAGATTTCTTCGAAAATAAAAAAAAAACATCACATCGAAAATATTGTATATGAATTTGTAGAGGTCCTATCGGTCTTCCAGGTGAACCTGGGTTAGCAGGGGATGAAGGTCCAACTGGAGATGTAAGATTAATTTGTTATAGAAAATTAGGTTATAATATGGTTTTCTTTCTGTCTAACTTGTCTTAGATTGGACCACCTGGAGAAGCTGGTAAGTAAAATTTATAACGAGATTAAATTTAAAATAGTACAATTTTATTTAAAGGTGCATCTGGTGGTCCAGGAAATCCAGGTCAACGAGGACCTCGTGGTATGTAAAAGATATATTGAATGTTCAAAAAAATGTAAGGTGTCTCTCCTTGAAAATCGGTTTTTGACACAATGTATATGATATTCATGAGGTTTTCTGAAGATGTTCAACTAATGAAAGTATACTATTAATAGAATTTTTACGATTCTAATCATAACTGTTCAGAAGATTTCTGTTAGCCATAGTGCAAAATAGGACTTTCATGTGGATAAATGTTTTTCAATCGACCACAAGCTACAGTGCTCGAGTTATTCTCACTTCAAAGAGCACTTCTTATCGTTTCGGATAAAGGGAAGAGTCGTTTAATTTTATTTCACTTTTGAGATCTTTAAAGTTTTAGAGAATGTTTTCTAGAAAATTCATGATTACATTTATTTTGACGGTCGAATGCAAAATTTTTGTCTTTCATTCGAAAGAGAATTCATTCATCTATGAAATAAAATAAAACTGCAGCTCATTAGAACGAACACTGTCGAAAATAGTATCGAAGAAAACGCACGAATATCTTGTTTTATATTTACTCGAAGAACTTTCCAACATAAGCATCAAATATAATTAAAAATTCATCTAGAGTCTTATCGAGCAATCTTCTAGCTATATGTTGAGGTCGTAACTGCAGTAGAGCTTATAATTTGTCTATGTATATGATGTTGACCGTTTTTCTAGAGAGCTCTACAAACTGATCATAATTTCTGAAGAAATCTTTTTATAATTGAAAGCTATTCTAATGAATTCTTAAAGTAGATACCTCAGGAGTCGTGCTTATATGTTTATCTCAAAAATTGTCTTAGAAAAATCGATTTTTTTAAGAGAGAGGAGAGTTTAATTAGTTTTTATTTAATCCACATTTTTATTTTTAGGCGATGTTGGAAATTCAGGTCCACAAGGTCCTCCTGGTCCTTCAAGTGCATCACCTACAACATTGAATGCTGCTAGTTTGATGAGTCTTTTTACAACAAGTACTCAAATAGCACAATTATTTAATATACCATTGGATAGATATAAACATATTGATTTTTCAAATCGAGTTAATAACAATCAAAATCCATTCGTAACTGCTTCAAGATTTCTTGACAATCTCAAACGTTTATCAACTGATATTACATTAAAAGCTAAACCTGATGGAAGTCAAATGCATCCTGCTCGAAGTTGTCGAGATATTGCTGACTATTATCCAGAAAAATTAAATGGTTTAATTTAATTATTTTAATTTCTTTTTTTTTCTAATTTTTAGACTTTTTAGGACCTTATTTTATTGATCCAAATGAAGGTTCGAAAACTGATGCTCTACTTGTTTATTGTAAACTAACTGAACGATTGACATGTGTCAATGCAACGAATGGAATAATTCAATCAAATCAATTCTTAACAAATCGAATTCATTATGGTAAACCTATTCGATTAATGGAAGATCTTCTACAACAATCTGAAGTATTATAAAAATAAAAATAATTTAATAAATATTTATTTTTTATTGAATTTTTAGTTTAATTATGATATTGAAACAATTCAATTACGTTTTCTTCGAATACTGTCTGAACAAGCTTCACAAAATATAATATTTAATTGTGGAAATACAAACATTGATATATTAAATCATGATGTTAAATTAAGAACTAAAAATGGTATGATGTATCAAATGTATTCACTCAGTGATGATTCATTACGATATAACATCATTAAAGATGAATGCAAAGTAATATTGTCTTTTAGTATATGTTATTTTCTTTCCATTTTTTTCCTTAGTATTCTCATGGTCAAACAATTCTATCAATATCAACAAATAAATCTGTACGTTTACCAATCATTGATATTGAATTTCTAAATAATTTCAATCGAATTCAAAATTTTACTATAAATATAGGACCTGTTTGTTTTTCATAACAAATAAATATGTGTACATTTCTATACTTTTAAATATAATAAACAACATTATTTATTGCAGCTAAAAGGAAGAGAAATATACATTATCCAATGACAAAAAAGAACCAAGAAAATACTTGTGATTAAATCTTATGACTAAGTAATAAGGAGCTTTAGTTGATACAAATAATAGATATGAGAATTAACTAAAAGCAATATAAACTGAGATCAAAAACTAATCTTATTTTATTGATTTTCTTCCTTATTTTTATCGTCTCCATTTAATGAGTCTTCCACTTTTCGTTTTGGTGGTGTATATGTTATTCGTGATCGATAGTCAATTACACCACGAGATTCAAGTAGTGATATATCATCATCTGGATCACCATCATCATCATGATCATGAGTTACGTGCAATGGTAAATCAGGATGTGTTTGAATTGATAATGAATGACTCAAATGCGGTGATATAGCTGGAATTTGACTATATGTTGAACGACGACGATCGTGTGCATCCATTAGAGATTTTTCATCGCCCCATGATTTAACATGCATTGGTTCTTCTGGATCAACAGTTGATTCATGAGGCATCTAAACATTTAAAAAAAGTGAATTTGAAGAAAAAAAAACTAAAAACAATAAATTTACTAATTGTGGAACAGCACGAAAAAAATAGAAAAATGGATAATAAACCAGATTCACAACTGAAGAAGCATAAATATCGGCAAATCTTGTAACTTGTGAAGCAAAATGCGTTTGTCGAGAACCTTTATTTAACAAATTATAGATAATTAAATCAATAAAAAGAATTTACCTGTTCGAAATAGAGAACCCAAAAGACCAAAATTCATATCAAGTTCATGAGTACATTCCTACGAAAACAAAGAAAAGTAAATAACTTCGATCAGTTAAGAAAATGTTTTTCTTTATTTCTTTTAATTTGAATTCATATATAAACTCCGACTAGCGGAAGTGTTTCCCCTTCACATATAAGTTGTTTTTGCAAAAAAATTTCCTTATATTATGACTATTTGATGATCTTTAGTCATGTTTTCTGATCAAAACGTTGGTTATGATATTTTATCGATAAAACAACATTCTCCTATCATAGTAATTTGTTTCTACTAGAAAGTCGATCCAATCTAGTGGCCTTTCTAGATTTGTCTATTTGATAATTAATATTTTCTTATATGTGTCATCATTTTCAATTTTTTACGCATATGTTATGTCGACTTGTTGTCTAATAAAGATGATGTTATTATGAAAAATACGTACGTGTTTGTTTTGTCGAAGATTGTGTCTCACAAAAAAGTCAATATAGACTTTCTGTCAAAATTTAGTCTTTCTGCCATCCGCTTTCAATAGTAATCGAGAACTATGGTGACAATCTAATCAATGCTTGTCTTGTTACATAATGTTAAGAAAGTTGTTCTGTATAGAATGAAACGATTATTTGTTTACGTACGTGTTTTAACGAGTTATCTTTTGTGAATAAATGCATTACATATTGAATTAAATATTTAGTAGTCTTAGCTGACACAACGAATGGAGCGAAGCTTTCCGAACATGTATTATCGAATGAATTTAGATAGGTTTCAGCATAAAGGAAGTTTTCAAGAGGTTTGCCGAGGACATCTCAATGCTACAAAAATACATTAGGTGGACTTCTGCTAATTCATCCATAGTCTCGATACCTGAAAAGTCCTCCAAAACTTTCTGAAGTCATTTCTTAAATGAAGATTGTGAACAGTGTGTGAGACAATGAAAGATATATAATTCTACTTAATTTTTTTGTTATCGAATCAAATTTACTCAAGAATATCTACTATCACTCTTTTGTTGTTGTCTATTTTTCTAGTAGATATTTCTGTGGTTTTAACAGATGGCACAGATGAAATGGAACAATATGATTTTCTTCTTTGCGTCATTTCGATACATGCTCAGATTGTTGAAGCAAAATTTATGATATGAACGCCCACTCAATCGTCTAACTGCGGTTTTCAATAGATATCAATCAATTTGTGGATATCGTTGTTCTTGAATACCAATTAAATATCTAACTCACTGAACATCAATGGATAGGTAGTTGTGTTGCTCTCTGTTTTTATGACTTTTTCAAGATTTTCGATGCAATCGTTTATGAGAAAAAAGCTTCGAACTCAAACCTACTGAGATTTCTTTTAAACATGTCAGATGTGAGAGTTAATTCTGAGCAAAATGTTGTGACTGCTAAGCTGAATCGAAATAAAAAAAATAAAAATCACGTAACCCTATCAGGCAAGGCTTTTTTCTCAGTTTTTACTCCATAATTATTCTCGCAAATATATCTTTTGAAATTCTGAAACATCATATGCACTGTAAAACTTTTTGAAAAAATGTCAAACTCTCTTATGTCATATTGCTGACTTCTAATCAAATCAATTTTTTTTGTTGGAAAAAACAATGTCTGAAGTACGAATTTTGTACCAGACATATTGTTCTAGAACGAATTTGACGAGAAGGAAAAGTCTAAAACCCAAAAATCTCGAAAACAATTTCTGGCAATGGTTTTCCCATTTGAAAAGTCTATATTTCTGGTTTCACTTTGAACTACATGAATGGATCAAATTGAAACAAAAATCCACGAAAATCTAGCGTATCAAAAACTCTATGGATATCAGTTTTAGCAAAATTTGGTAGATCTACTCCTGACTCTTTCATCAAAAGGTTCCAAAAATGAAATTTTAGTTAAATAGTCTTTTACAAAAGATCTTAGTTTGCAAGAATATCAACCAGCATCTGCAGAAATTATGCATAAACTGAATTTTCTTTTTGAGTGTTATTTATTCGAAATAGTACAGTTTATAGAAGTTTAATAGAGAGCATAGCTAATTCAAGAAAACAAAACACTTTTTTTTTATCGTTGCAAAACGATCAATTTAATCAGTGTTGTTAAGACAAAGGTATATTTTGGTATAAAAGCCCAAAGTAAATTTAACTTTCAATACATTATTGAAAAGAGCATTCGTTAAAGTACAAAAATCAGCATTAAACGTATGTTTTTGTTTCCGGCTTTTTATTCTCGTCAAGTTTCTTCTGGAAAAAATACGTCTACTACAAAATATCGTAATTCAGGGATAGCTCTTTCTCAAAAAAAAAAAAAAAAAAAGGAATTAGTACAAAAGCGAACAATAAAGTGAAAGCGAGTTTTCCTAAAAACTTTTCCATTGCATATCATTTCAGAAGATGCAGAATATTGAAAACCTTTGTTAAACAATTTGCATGATTTTTCTGCGTTTTCTATTGTTGTACTTAGGTGATTGAGTAAGTCTTAATATTTAAAATTGTGCTCCAACAAAAAGAAACCTTGAAAAACAAATGCCACAGTTTTTTAAATTAAAAAAAATCTCTGTTGAATAACTTTCTGAAAGTGTATCTGAGTGCGTGATCACAAAAAGAAAATGATTTTTTCCCGTTTAATCTGTGCCACTCGTTATATTTTTATATTTTTTATTTCTTCGTTTTTTCCTCATTTGAATGTTCATTCACAGTACTCTAAGGACTTTAAGATCATCAGCTATTGCAAAATGAAAAGAAAGGCGTTCTTTAAATGATCATTAACGGAAGTGTTTCTCTTAGTCTATAATAAGTCTTTGGAAAAGAAATTTATTTATTTTTTATAAGGATATTAATTCAAATAATGAATAATTAATAGAGTTCGTCATCATCATCAGTCGAATATAAAACAAAACGAAACACCGGTGCATTATCCAACAGAAAACTAACTATTACTTTTTACAAGAAAATGTGTTTTCTACGAATAAAGACTATCGGAAATGCTAGGTAATTATTATATGCTATAGTAGAATAGAATTTATTATAATATCCCTATTTCCTTTCATAATAATTATTTTAAAAAAATTTCTTTTTCTTTCAGGTACCCTTTTTTTTCAATTCTACCTTCGGAAATACCACTCATTCGCTTTTCTTATATGCCTACAACAATAAAAAATAGAAAGCATATTCTTTTACTTTAAAATCAAATTCCATCTGAATGAAAAAAAAAAAGAGAACTAATACTTATTCATCATGCAAAAGATTTTACAAAAACAAGAGACTATCATTATTGAATTCATGAAATATAAATTTCAAAAGTTTTATCTAAGATTTCAATTCTCAACTATTATTTATACTAAAATAAGGCTTTGATTCAATATGAAACTAATTATTCTTTTGTTTTCGTTTTTCTCTATTGTAAACTAATCTTGTGAATAAATATTCATTAATTTTGTTTTCTTTATTACTTGTATTTTTTGTTTTATTTTTGTAACAGCATCAGGTCTATGAACCGATGTCATATCAAATGACCGAAGTAATTCACTAATTGATGTATCTAATGATTCTAATGTATTAAATAAATCTCTTTTATCATGAAAAACTTTTAATTCATGATTTAATTCTGGTACAACAAGCATTGTTCTCCATGCTTTTTGTTTTTTTGATTTAATTATGTCACCAAATATATGATCACCAACATATAAAACATCTTTACCCATTGAACCAATTAATTTCGAAACAACTTCACAAGAACCTAAATAAAAACAGCGAGATAAATATATCAATTAATTAATATTTTAAATTTTAATTTGTTTACCTCCACTATAAACTTCATTTTCTTGTAATTGTCCAGAATATGAACCCAATTTCATACTTCTGGTTTGTGGATCTATTATTCTTAATGTTGTACCTTCAGCAAAAAATAATGGTTTTTGTGCATCAACAAGTATAAGATTAAAATATGATTTCCAATCTCGTTTTATTGTTTTTGAATCATCAGATTTATCCGTTAATAAATATGTCATTAATTTATCTGTATACCAATATTCACTATTAGTTAATAAAAATGTTTTAGCATTATGAGAACGAATACTAAGAAGAAAAACAAAAAAGAAAAAAAAAGTAGATATTTCAATTAATAAATTATAGTACCGATCTAATAATACTGGTAATTGTTCATCTTTGTAAATATATTCTTCAATATTTTCACAAACGATTTCTTTGAGTTTACCCTTTTTTAATAAATATAAATTTAAAAAAATTATTAATAGAAATTTGTTTTTTTTTTATTTTACTGTATGATGAACGCGATCAATTGAATTACGAACGTCATTAAATATAGCACGAAATGTAAGGATATTTTGTCCATATATAACAGCTGTACGATCTCTAGAATAATATTATAAAACAAAAAAAGAAAAAGAAATCAATAATTCTTCAACAATGAAAAAATAAATCCATAAACATACTGAACATAAGTAGCAACTGTCGAAAAGTAGTCAATCAAACAAGCAATAAGATAAATTTCTATAAATAGAAAAAAATAAACAAATATTTCTATTTTTATTTCTATCTCCGCCCTTTTCATCACCTGGAAGATTGAAGAGTGTATAGAAAACGTAGATACGGTCGTCCACAGTAATATATTTATTTGGATATATTTGACGAACTTCATGCCTAAAGAAGAGATAATGTTTTAGGACAGGTACATTTTTTAGATTATCTATCAATCTTCATTTTGATGTAACATTCATTTAATGAGAAACTCAACAACTTCATTTGTACAGTCGATTTCAACACTAGTATGATATATTATGACAACGTACCCAGAAAGAAATTTAAAACCATGAACTACAGTAAGAATATTTCCATAAGCATCAACTTTAAGTAAATTTCCATATAACTTATCATACCAAAGACCTCTATTGTAGAGAAAAAAAAAATAAACAAATACATAATTAAAAAAAAAACACAAAAAATTCATTATTAAATTTTACCTTAATGGAAATGTTCTATCATAAACAAATTCACGAATTTGTTCAGGATAACCAAGTTCAATTAATGATTCAAGTACATGCTGAAATGTTAATTCTTCAAATTGGGGGGATTTATACAATGCTAATGTATAATCCATGTCAAAACCATAAAATTTTATACGATCTAATTGTAAACTTCGATTAACGAATATACTAAAAAAAAATTTTTAATAAAAATCAATTTTTTTTTTTTTTTTTAAATTAAACTAATCATTTACCGATGTCCTGGTTCACGTTTTATTTTCATATTTCTTCTCTAAATATTTATATTAAAAAAATAATATCAATCAATAATTTAGAAAATCGATTTACTCGTATTTCTGTATCAGATGAAAATGATTCACGTAATTGATCAGATCGTTTCATTTCCGTTGAAAAAACTTGATCGTCAATCTAAATAACAAAAAACAAACAGGAAGAAAATATTTTAAATAAATTATTGTATTAATTATTAATAATAATTTTTGAATAAATTTTACCCACCATTTTGTTTGTTTTTTCGTTTTCAATAATAAAATAATTACTTAGGTCAACACAAGGACATATACGCGCAACAACAAAATGAATGCGTATATAATAAAAAAAGAAACAAGCTATCACTATGCTCACTATACGCTCTTTTTTTCCTCTCTTTCTCTTTTTATTGTCCTTTCTGTTTTTTTTTACCAAACGACAAATCAATCGATGCTTTTGTTAACTTAGGATTTTATGTACTTTAAGGCTGAATAAGATATTCGATATTTATATATACGGATTTCTTTTTTTTTTCCTCTTGCACCTGTTCACTAATTTAATCAATTAGCCTGGATTAATGATGTGTAAAAAGAAACTTGTTTCTCTTTCAATTATTAAATGATATCACACTATGATATGCGTGACTAACGTTGGAATCGATAGAATCATGTCTTCTTTTTCGCAAATATATCAGATGGATCTGATTATTTCTGTGCTGAGAACATTTTTAGATGCAATACAAACAACTGATGTAAAGTACAAAGTGCATATAAAGAAACGAGAAAGCAATGTGCCAGTCAATATATTATTACATTTTTGTAATAAAAAGAAATAATTTCCAGCTGATAGAAATACGACAAGATATTAGGAATGTCAGAGAAAAACCAGGCACCAATTTTACTTCATCAAGCAGCGGTAACGTCATTTACGTTTCCGAAAAAAATATTGACTGTTATCCAAGATATATGGAAGCGGCGTCACATTAAGCACAAGTTGAAGATTATGTCAATTCTGATTAGTTTTTTTATCCAATGAGAAAAGACCTTAATTGTTCTATGAATAACAGTTTATTTTTATCAAATAATTTTATATACTCATATTATTATTTTTATTCATATATATATTAACCTATAAATGTGAAAATGCGCATATCTTTTTTGAATTTATAATAACTTTTGCAAAAGGGGTAGCCGTAACTATATGGCAGAATCCATAGAATATTATCAAGCAACCTATAGATGATTGAGCGCTAATATCGTTAATTGTCAAAATTAAATTTCAAAATAATTAAATCTTAGTCATCAATACATATTTTTTATTCAAATATATTAATTGTTAAATTATATATTTCATTTGCAATCAATGGTGGTTTTCATTCTTTCGTCAACATTTAATATGGTGGCAATAATACTGATCATTTATTTATTTTTTCTTAACAAATGAAAATAAAACACAAATAACTTTTTTATTTTGTAGATATTTTAGTAATATCCATCATGCAAATCTTTGTCAAAGTAATTATAACAAAAATTTGTTTTTTTAATTTTTTTCTGTTTTTTGTTCATTAGACTCTTACGGGTAAAACAATCACGCTCGAAGTATGTATATTAAGATATTTTGAAAAAGTAAATGATAATATAAATATGTTCAGGTCGAGCCATCGGACACAATTGAAAATGTAAAGGCTAAAATTCAAGACAAAGAAGGTATACCACCAGATCAACAACGTTTAATTTTCGCTGGCAAACAACTTGAAGGTAAGCATCTAATTTGTATTTCTTTAATAGGTGTTCCACCGTGTGATATTAAATATCATACAATGGAACACATTTTATGGGAGGGGAGTATCAGCTATAATCTTATCAGTGGAACATCTACAACATGAATATTCATTTAACTTTCTATTTTATATATATTTCTAGATGGTCGTACTTTATCCGATTATAATATTCAAAAGGAAAGTACACTTCATTTAGTTTTACGTAAGTATAAACCGATATTTATTGTATATATATATATATATTTCGATTTATTTAAAGGCCTTCGTGGTGGTACCATTGAACCAACACTTCGAATGTTAGCACAAAAATATAATTGTGACAAAGTTATATGTCGAAAGTAAGAATAATAAAAATTAAAAAAAAGTATAAAAATTTTCTTTAAAACTTAATTATTTAGATGTTATGCACGACTTCATCCACGTGCAGTTAATTGTCGTAAACGTAAATGTGGTCATACAAGTAATTTACGACCAAAGAAGAAACTCAAATAAACATTTTGTTTTATTTTCTTTCTTTTTTTTTTGTTTTGCTCATGTTGAAATGCAAAAAAGAACAGGCAAAAAGAAAACAACAACTAACATCAGAATAAACTAATAAAAGAAGAATAAAGAAAATTATTAAATACATATAATTGAATGTTCACTTAATTTGATGTGAAAAACATAAAAGTTTTATATAAAAAATAGAAATTTTAATATAGAGGATTACAAGTAAGACACAATGAAGATAACTTTGCTCTTATAGGACAAATAGATTTAATTCTTTTTATACTCACCAGTAGATCAATTATTGACGCGGAAAAGTTTTAGAAAATTAGATATGACATTTACAGTGAATCGAAAAATCATTCAACAAGGTTTATTTTCAAGTTTTATCTGCTGATGTAAGCATTAGAAAGAGTCCACGAGGAAATAAAAAATTGTTATAAGGTTCGGAATGATACGGACTCTTGAAGACTAAAACTCTATCTTTTCAGCACTTAGAGTGCGTAACTATAATTTTGTTTACACTAAATAGAACGATAGAGTAAACCATTCTCCGTAAAATGAGACATCACTGAGTTCTCTGTGATCGTTTTTAGCTGAGATTGGATAATTTGATTGAAGCTCAAAAAATGGTTTTTCTACAGGAAATTGGGAAAAAACGACTTTAGGGATTTATGTCAGATTGTTGTATCTTGGCTAAAAAACGTTGCAAATGTGCAGAGACTGATCTACGCTATCGTGATGTAGGTTAAACAAAATTATATTTACTCTTCTAGATGCTAAAAAACTAACCTTTCAGTTTTCTGAAGCTTCTATCTTTACAAGTCTGATAATTATTCGGTACTCAATGTATGTGATATCAGGCTCGAATGGTTATTACATTCTTCAGATTGTGAAAAGGAAAGCTGTCGATCCTGAGAGAGAAATAAAACATCGTAAAAAGAAGCAGAACACGTCTTGTTCTAAGTGCAAAACATAAACGATTATTCTTGAATTGGCGAGAACAATTGCGAAATTGTTCAACACTGAGATTAACTTGAAGTAGTTCCGGCCATAATTGATAATGAGAGATGAATTTGCTTGATTTTTGTTCTAGACTTTCTTAAACATATCCTATTTTGCGAGCATTTCCCTTGCATTCCTATATGCTTTACAAAAAAAGGAGTGTCTTTTTGAAAATAGTCACTTGTTTATTGCTCTAAACATTATTCATATAATTTATAACACAACTAAAAGATAATAGAGGCAAAATGTACGCCTTGTTGAAGTTTTCTTAGAACAATTAGATTAATAATCAATAAATTGATGATTTTCTTATTAAAACTGTAGAGTTGAAAGTAATTTTTTTCATTTTAATATAGATAGATGTTCATTGTTACACAAAAATGCGAACTTCCATCTATTAACACTTTGTATATTTTTGATGTTGAGTTCAGACAGTTTTATATAAGGTCAATGAATAGAATCAGTCGTAGAAATGCTTTATAATAATAAGTTTGAAGCAGTACTTCGCAGTTTATATTAAGAAAGTTATTTACAATAAAAGAATATGACAATATCCATGATTTATTTTTTCTCGAGATTATGATTGCAGTTTAAATCTCGTTATCTATATCAATATCAAATAGTGAATACTGGAGTGTTTATTGATTTGTTTTCGATTGTATGGACACTGTGATTGATAAAAGTAAAAACTACATGTAGAGATCAAGATAAACTTATTAAATTGAGAAAAATAAGTTTTAGTAATCTCTTTATTGTTAAATCAGTTTAATATTTTTACTAAGTTTATCGCCGTAATTTATGCGAAATTTATGCACAACGAGTTCGAAAGTATAATAAAAATGATTAAATCAAGACTGACAAATCGTTGATTGCCATTATGTTAATCTTGATCTTATATATATTTCATTTATTTTCACTTGAACGATTATTTTTTGCATTAACTATGAATTGAAGCATTGCTTCAAACTATCGGAAAGTATTTCTACGATTGATTCCATTTATTTCTATCATCTAAAAATGTCTGAACTCGACATCAAAAATAGCAAAAGGTCAATAGATCAGTTTTTGCAATATTTCTAAATAATATGTGATATGTTTTATTCATAGGAAAATTTACCTTTGTTATCAAGATAGAAAAAAAGAAATCTAAATATAAATTTTCATCAGAAAACCATTAAATAATTATTTGTTATTTAGTTGATCGGAACTCATATTGACATGACATGTATGTATGGTACTTGTTCATCATTCTAGTGCAGGAAATTTACTCGTGGCATAATTCATTGTTTGATTTTTAAGATTAATGCTTCTAAAAGAAAAATCTTACTAGCAGAAAGTAATATCCTGTATATTTCCTACATAATTAAGGAAATCCTATATTAATCGTGATTTTTAATTCCTATATTTTTATGTAGTGACATCATGTAGTCAGAAGTTTAATCAACGGATATGTTTGTTGAACCGAAAAACAAAAATATTCAACTATCAGTAGAAAACTAAAGATCATGTCATCTTTAGTTTGATAAAACTTAGAAAAGTATGATTTTTTTATTAATTTATCATCAAAATATTCATTAGTAAAATGAATAAATAAAACTAAAAATCCTTCAAAACAGTTTCGGTATATAGAATTTTTATTTTGATAATGCAAACTACTTATGAAATATCTCGTTTGAATACTTAAAACAAAAAATATATCAATCAATATTATCGCTTTTTTTGACAGTTTGGACTTGTGTGATAAAAAACAAAAATGTATATATGCATATATATATAAGCGTCAAATCATTTCGTTAGCAACTTGACTTCACTAAATTGAAATACGTGTATTTCGGGGTAATGAAATTTTCTGGATCTATTCTTTTTGTCTATTACATGTATGTGAAGTTACTACAGATACTCTAAAAAAAACCACACTAAAAGCCATTGTTCAGATGAGTTGCTGGTAAAAAACCAGCGTTAGTAGTGTGATATAATAAAAGAACTTCGATTTTCTCTTCATACACTCTAGTATAAGAAAAACTTCGAATTTATGTGCAACTAAATAGTACATTCTGTAGACAACTTTTGAGGCTATAAAAATCTTTATCTAAAGTTTCTTCGGAGTATGCCTAGATCTTACAAAAAAAACTGACTTACTTTTCGTTACCGATAAAATCCTTCTTCAGGATCTCTAGAAAATCTGTTTTTAAAAGAAAATTTCTTGGAGTATGGTCTTACTGAAAATTTCAGCATAAATATAGATCATTTCATAGAGTTCATCCTGAAGTTTTCGAATTTTTTCCTTATATGGTTAGAGAGATATTTGCTAATTATTTTTTAATTAATAATCATTTGAAAGAACTAACATTTGTTACATATATCTATGCTAAAAGAACTTGATCTTTGTCAAGAATCAAAGTCAAATGAAAGATCGTTTTGTCTGAAATGTCTCATATATATGATTCAACTATGATATTAACAAGAGCATTCAGTTCGATGCTTACTTTTAAAGTCGAACGAATATTCTGATCAAGTATAAAAAATTGAAAACATCACATTTGACATAACTTCAATACCATATACAGTAATCAAAAGATTTTTTTCTATGATCTTAGTTTTACTAGATTTTAATGAATGGTTAAAAAAAAAAGAGTAATTATATTTTGTTTTCT